ATATATATATATATATATATATATATATATATATATAGGTTTATTAAGATTTGATTGAAATTTAATGATTAATAAAATAATCATCCAAATTATATGAATAACAAAGTAATAATTGATGGTTCCGTTGAATTCTATAAATTCTAAAACATAAATCATAATAATTATTGATCATCAAGAAAACCACAAAAACAAGTATATTAATTGATCATAAATTAAGAAAAAGAAATAAAAATTTACTTATGTTTTTCAAAGTTCTTTTAGTGGGGCTAAACCCACCATAACCTTGACCCTAACTCACTTGAGAGGGAGTTTTGAGGGTTGAAGCTTTTTTTGGTCCCACTTGAGGGGCTTCCTAAAATAGGGCTTTTTAAAGAATGTGTTAGGACTAGCCCGTGGACCATGGATCAAGTTGACACCTCTATCTATATTTCATGATGGTAAGAGAGTGGGTTAATTCTGCGTTGTTTCAACATTTACTCTAACATTACAAATTTCTCAAAATACAATTTACATTGATAGTGCTAGGGACTTAATGAAGGACCTTAGAAAATGATTTTCAAAAATTGATCATTTTTTGCTTTCAAATATTCTTGAAGAGATAAACTCCAATAAATAGGGTGAAAGAATTGTGTTATAATCTATGAAGCACATGCAAACAAGTTTTATTCTTATGTGGATCTTAAGCATGAACATACAGACAAGTGACAAGATCTTAATCGTGATTTAGATTGCTCCTGTTGTCTAAAAATTGTCTCCTTGTTGTTGAGAGATGAGAGATTCGCCTGGAAAAGACTTTTTGACGCTCAAGTCAATAAGAGAATTAAAATTTTTGTAAATATTATGTGTATCAATGTTTAGCAAATTAGCATTCCTTAGGGATTACTTGTTATATTTATTGGATCAACATGGACTGTGGACCTATGTTCCTATTAGAATAATACTTACTTGAGGCATATAACAATAATATAATAAATAGTAACATAATAGTAAATAATAACCAACATATCAAACTATCGAGATTTAGTTATAATATGTACATATGGCCCAAATAGACATGGGTTAGGGCTACTCCATGATGAAAACGCTTAAAGGGCCTTATTGGGTCACAATCATTAATATGTCTATTGGATCAGGTAGGAACATAAGCTCCTATAGTCGTAGGAATTTGGTTTGGTGTATGAGGTCATATCAGACCTTTACTCAAGCTTGAGTCTATTTGTGTAGTTTGCAAATAGATTGGCTATTTAACCGAGCTCATAAATTTGTTTGGGCACATTCGACCATGTTTGCAGGTTGATTGACCTCGAGGTCGAACTTTTTAAGTGACTAATCCAGTAGAACTTTTAAATAATCTTGCCATTCAACCAAGCTCCTTTAGTGGCTAATCAGCCTAGCTTTCTAAATAATTTGGCCTTGAGGTTAAGCTTTTTTAGTGGCTAGTCTAGTTGAGCTTTTTAAATAATATAACCTCGAGGTCGAGCTCTTTCAGTGGCTAATCCAGTCAACCTTTTTAAATAATCTGACCTTAGGGTCGACCTCTTTAAGTGGCTAATCTAGCCATTAGACCAAGCTCCTTTAGTTGCTAATACAATCGAGCTCTTTAAGCAGCTCATCTAGCCAAGCTTTTAAATAATTTGGCCTCGAGGCCGAGCTCTTTTAGTGGATAATCTAGTTGAGCTTTTCTAAATAATCTGACCTTGGGGCCAAGTTCTTTCAATGTCTAATCTAGTCGAGCTTTTAAATACGTTGGTCATTCGAGCGAGCTCCATGCGTGTCTAATCCACTTGAGCTCTTAAATAGGTTGGTCATTCGACCGAGCTCCTTGAGTGGCTAATCTAGTCAAGCTCTTAAATAGGTTGGTCATTTAGTCGAGCTTCTTGAGATACTGAACCAATCAAGCTTTTAAATATGTTAGTCATTTGATCGAGCTGCTTGAGTGGCTAATCCATTCGAGCTCTTAAATGTTGAGACAAGATTGCCTAGAAAGACTAGATCGTCTAACATCTCTGGTTTTGAAGTTTAACAAATAACATTAAACTGAATATCATCTTAGGAAGAAGTGCGTCTAAAAGAAAATAAACATAAACACAACCTGAGAAAACATAGAAACATCCCTGAGAAATCACAAGAGAAAGTGTCTGAACATTAGGCAACAAACAATATCTTGGAACCATTAACAACGTCTATCAAATAGAATAATTCAGATGACTGTTAGACTAAGAGATAGAAATCAAAATAATTAGGCTCAAATCATCTAGAAACATCTAGAAAAAACTTTAAAAGCCTAAGAAGACTTAAGCACAAAGATATCTAAGCAGTTATATTGAAAATTATTATCACAAGAGCTAGCAAACAACATTTTCCTAGACTATAAGGATTAACAAGTGAATACGTCTGATTAATAAGAAAAGTTCACAAGAATACCTTGTAAAACAATAAGCTTAAAAGAAGAAAAGAGTTTTACAAAGACATCGATTTAGAAAAAGAAATGAGCTTAAATGATATGACACATTCTTAAGAAGCGTCTGATCAGTAGGAAAAGCCTATACAAATTTAGTAAGACACCATGCTTAAGGTACTTAGACACAAAGTGTCTGAATTACTCTCGTAGAACATTGGGTGTGAAAATCCTCTCTAAGGTATAAATATATTTTACATGGATGATTCATGATAAGCATCGTCTGAACAGGTGAAAAACTTAAGGAAAGGATTTTAGTCAGTATTAAAAGAATTAGTACAGTTTTTACTATTAACATTTTAACAGAAACACGAAATTTTTGTATGGGGTTTTAGTCTTTACAACAATTTAATACATTTTCGCATTTGTGTTTTGAGTGAACTCGAGATTTAAATTACATTTTGACAGACACAGGATTTGGCATGTGGTTTTTAGTCTTTTTAAAGCAATTTAATACATTTTAGTAGATATATTTAAGTGAAAGTCGAGATTTTCGGTAAATGTAAGTAAAAACCTATTAAATTTTTCAGGTATTACTATTAAAATTTGGGTTATGTTGGGGGATCAAAAACATGTCTTACCATTTTATGTATATTTTGTTTTGGGTTATTGATTGTGTGGAAGGGGATTTTGGGTTTTAGAACTAAAGGTTTGTTTTTTTGGCTTGTGTTTTGAAGGTATTGCAAGTGTGAGATGCCATATAACCCGGATGACCTCATGGTACAATGTGAAGGGTGCAAGGATTGGTAAAATCAGTGTGTTCTGCCTGACTTTCTTTACTAGTATTGTGCTTGGAATTTTGAATTTATTTTTTGGGTGTTTATTTTTGTATGTTGAATTTGAGCATTGGATGCTATTTACTGGGTTGAAGGAATTATCAGTTATGTGATCTCACCACCTGCAGAATGAGTGGCCTAAAGGGTGTTAGAAAGTTGTAAGTTCTATTGGAAGCTCATGTATGGTCCTAAAACTCTTGTATAGAACTGCATCTACCTGTGCAAGCCCTTTGCATGTTGGTCTTGAAAAAGCATTTTACTTGTGAAGTAAAAGTAAAACAAATCAAAGAAGAAACGGGTGAATATATAATGCGTTGTACATTCACTTGTGACATCTGAGCTTCACAGCTAAAAGTTCAGTGACGGATGGAATTTATGTCTGCCCGAAAGTGTCAATGTGCTTGTGGGGGGCTGTTGTTATAATGATTATGGGTTCTGTCGTTTCTTTATTTCAAATATATGCGTGACCAATAGAAATTTGATGATGCAGAGGCTTATTCCATCTGTTGATTGTTTCCATGCATGTTTTGAAAAGTATACTGGACATGTATTTTCATTATAACGTTTATGAAAATACGGGAGCTTGCAAATTACTGCAGTCATCATCAACATAGAACTTTGTGGACATAACTTCTATGTGAATTGTAGAAGAGTTAAAATCTAATGAGTGTCCAAGACTCACATTCTTTACATGTTGAGTGTCTCTTTATGCTCTATAGAACACACATTTCAATCTTTGTAGGTTTTTTGTAGGTATCATCCTGCTTGTGTGGGCATGACCATCGAAGAAGCAAAGAAATTAGATCATTTTGTGTGTTCAGAATGTTCATCTGATGATGATATGAAGAAACCGCAAGCTACATTTTATGCTCGCCAGGAGCCGATGGCAAGGTGACTTCTTGTGTCCAACACCAAATAATTGTTACTTAATGTTCCCAGCATATGACTAATACATTAGTTTTCTATTATCTAGTTTCTGGCAAGGATATGGGGAGGGAAACGGGACACATTGCTGAAAAAGGAATAAATGATTTAATGGAAAAAAAAAATCTCTTTAAAATCTAACCCTTATACAGCTAGTTTCTAAAATGACCATAGATTGCAGCTGGTTTTTCACTAGTTAGTGTGGACGGAGACACATGAATAAGTACTGCACATGTGTAAGTTAACAGTATCATGTGCATTTCTCTCCTATTTTGATACCAAACTTTTCATAGTTCTGTCTTATTTGCTGTCCTTAATCTGAAACATGTTTTGCATGCTAATGTGGGTTGGCTAAATGTATACCTATGCTATTTTTAGTTGTTGTACTGTTGTCTGGCCGGTATGTATTCTTTTTATAGTCATTGGTAATGTATTGAAGGCTGTAATTTTCTTTCTTTTGAGATATAGGCTTAGCAATGATGTTTAATTGATATCCTAATGACAATGTTACACTCACTTTGGTTAATCTGCTCGAAATTTTAACAATATTTAACATGAAAAACCAGCACCTTCCTTTTGTGAGGGGGTTATACATGTAGGCTATTTATTTTGTTCACTACATGTCTGATATATCAATTGCTATTGAATTTTTGGAGGGGTTAATGGTGCTGTGGCACAGTGAGGTTATTTATTTCTGATGAATGCAATTTCATCCTCGTGTCTGTTTTGTGGTAGGCTCAAGTTAATATGGGAGTATGATTGATTATATTCAGTAAGATATTTATTACCAGAATTTGGAAACTCTCATCAGATGCCCTTTTGTTTGAAAAAGTGTTTAAAAAAAAAACAAACTTTCGAAACCAATAAGCAAAAGAGAAGTGCCCTTTTTGTAATTATGAGTAAAAATTGATTTTTTTTTTCTCAAACCAAATGGGGTCACAAAATAGTTGGTAGACAGTTGGTTCATTGTTGAGGCACAGTGACATTTTACTTTTTGGATTGTGGTTTTATATTATTGGATTTCAAATTTTGAATTTTGCAGGTGGAGCCCAAGCGGCGAAAGAGATGACCATAATGCAGTAGAAACCTTGTTTGGAGGCGTGAGTGACTCTTGCTGAATTTGGGTGGCACTCTATGGTAGCTTTTGTGTGTTGTACAGCTTCATCTAGAGGCTATGAACATTTCATTATGTATCTGACTTAGCTTATATTATGTATCTATTGGTCGTAGATTTTATAACTGTGACATTCCCTCAAGTGAATTCCGATCCAAGTGTTTATTATTCTTCAGATGATGACATCAAAACCTAAAATACTAAGCACAGAGAAGCGGTTAGTTTTAAATGTTGGTTCGTCTTTAGCACTTAGCTTTTTGTTCCTCCCTATTGCTCACCACCTTACAAATTTGAAAAATTCGCCAAATGATTTTTCTTATTTATTTATCTAGATGAACGCGATAACTGTAAGAGTGTGCAAATCCTACAAAAGGAGCGTATAGAATAAAGAATAAAAAAATATCTCTAACATTATGATGGTTGGATTTAAAAATAAAGAATAAAAAAGGGAGAAAAAAAAGACACAAGGATAAGCTTGCACACTTATTGCACGGCACAACTGTTGCACGACCTTCCTTGTCCATGCTTATCAATTACAAAAAGAAGCCGAAAGCAGTTACAGTTTTGTGTTTTGTTTTTGATTTTGCTTTTTGTTTTTATCTGTTATGGGCCTTTTACTGTCTTGCTTGTATTTGTATATGTTAACCTTCTGTTTTTGTTACGTGGAGTGATGAAAAGAGTTTTCATATTTATATGTTCCAGTGTGTTTGAGAGCATCTTTTTTGTTCTTTGCATCAATGTTTGGCATCTCTTATTCTCTATATTTACATCCGTCAATTTGGTTTCTCTAGTTTGGTTCTGACACACGTGGATTAATGTCAGAAAATTCATAGAACCATAAAGCTTCTTATAAAAAAAATTCATAAGACTAAATTATCTACAAAAATCCTGTCGATTAGATCAATCCATAAACTCTTTTTTAGATTTTTTTATTTTAAATATAAAAGAATGTAATTAATTCAAATTTGTTACAAATTAGTGTTATAAATTTTGAAAATTATATTTGATAAAACAAAGTTACCTAGTTATCTTTTTTATTATATAAAATAAATATTTATTTTTCGTACCTAAAATTCTATAAATAACCTTTTGAATATATAAACTATATATTAAATTTAAATTATGATATAATATTCTGTTTAGGTTAAAAAAAATCTTTATTAAAAAAACATATTTTAAATCCAAGGGTATTTTAATAATTTTAAAATTTAATTTAAAATAAAAAAATAAAAGGTAGTTATCTTAATTGTTTTTAAAAATAAAAAATAAAAAATAAAATAAAAGGTAGTTATTTATCATTTTATTAGTTGTTTTTTAAAATAAAAAATATGTTTTTGAGTTGCTTCAACATGAGATTGAGTTATCTACAAAATATTCAACAACTGTGATTGACAATGACTCTTAGTCGGTGCGACATCATACCAAACTTGATGGAGGTTGTTCTGTAACTTGGATAAAGGAAAAAAAATTCAATTTCATTTCTTGTAAAGAATTTGAATTTTCTGGGATACTATGTAGACATATTATTCGAGTATTGTTGAAAGAATGACTATTTTAGCATTCCAAAAGAATACCTTCCTTCTCGATGGAGAAAAGAAAGCTCATTGATCCCACGATCAAGACACATAATCAACTAATGATAACTCCTCTATTGAGTTTCGATCACTTGTGCAATGTTTAGAAGTTGAATCTTTAAAGACCATAGATCGAGTTGAAGTAGATACTAAAGAGTTAAAGAAAGTCATTCACTATTTAAAAAGTATGCTTGAAGTTCAAGAAAATTCAATTGATCTAGAACACAGTGTTCTAAATGTTGATGAGTGTGATGCTGAAAATCTTATCACTTGTAAAACGAAAGACCAAGAGGATCAACGCCGAAAGGAGGAGTTGAAGCTGCAAAGAAGTCTCGTCATTGTCATTATCCTAACTGTGGTGGAACCGATCATGACTCACGAAATTGTCCAATCAAAAGAAAGAAAAACTCATTGTTAGCTTCTCAATCATCTCATAATAAATAATGCATAAATGAAATATGTATTTGTATCTTTTAATTTTATTTTACAATCACAGTGAACTAGCTTTTATTTTGTGTAATTTAGTCTTTTCCTTTAATAAGCTCTTTGTAACCTTAGTTAAATATAAATGATAAGTTTTTCTATATGCTTGTTACTGGATGCATGTTTTTTTTTCTTTACTATCTAAATGGAAACAAATGAAAAGGCTAAATAGTGTGTACTCTATTTGGTGTTATGATATTAAAAGCATGTGCTTGTAACAGCTTGTAAGCCAAACGTCCGGCTAAAGTTTTCTCAAAGTGCACTTCTAAAATAATATGTATTAATCACTTCTAAAATCCTATATTTTAACAAGGTTTTACATTAAATTACCTACTACATGAATGTTATATGTAAAAAATTATAATAAAAAGTCTTATTTATATATTCCTAAAAATATTCATATATAATATATATATATATATATATATATATATATATATATAGGTTTATTAAGATTTGATTGAAATTTAATGATTAATAAAATAATCATCCAAATTATATGAATAACAAAGTAATAATTGATGGTTCCGTTGAATTCTATAAATTCTAAAACATAAATCATATAATATTGATTCATCAAGAAAACCACAAAAACAAGTATATAATTGATCATAAATTAAGAAAAAGAAATAAAAATTTACTTATGTTTTTCAAAGTTCTTTTAGTGGGGCTAAACCCACCATAACCTTGACCCTAACTCACTTGAGAGGGAGTTTTGAGGGTTGAAGCTTTTTTTGGTCCCACTTGAGGGGCTTCCTAAAATAGGGCTTTTTAAAGAATGTGTTAGGACTAGCCCGTGGACCATGGATCAAGTTGACACCTCTATCTATATTTCATGATGGTAAGAGAGTGGGTTAATTCTGCGTTGTTTCAACATTTACTCTAACATTACAGATTTCTCAAAATACAATTTACATTGATAGTGCTAGGGACTTAATGAAGGACCTTAGAAAATGATTTTCAAAAATTGATCATTTTTTGCTTTCAAATATTCTTGAAGAGATAAACTCCAATAAATAGGGTGAAAGAATTGTGTTATAATCTATGAAGCACATGCAAACAAGTTTTATTCTTATGTGGATCTTAAGCATGAACATACAGACAAGTGACAAGATCTTAATCGTGATTTAGATTGCTCCTGTTGTCTAAAAATTGTCTCCTTGTTGTTGAGAGATGAGAGATTCGCCTGGAAAAGACTTTTTGACGCTCAAGTCAATAAGAGAATTAAAATTTTTGTAAATATTATGTGTATCAATGTTTAGCAAATTAGCATTCCTTAGGGATTACTTGTTATATTTATTGGATCAACATGGACTGTGGACCTATGTTCCTATTAGAATAATACTTACTTGAGGCATATAACAATAATATAATAAATAGTAACATAATAGTAAATAATAACCAACATATCAAACTATCGAGATTTAGTTATAATATGTACATATGGCCCAAATAGACATGGGTTAGGGCTACTCCATGATGAAAACGCTTAAAGGGCCTTATTGGGTCACAATCATTAATATGTCTATTGGATCAGGTAGGAACATAAGCTCCTATAGTCGTAGGAATTTGGTTTGGTGTATGAGGTCATATCAGACCTTTACTCAAGCTTGAGTCTATTTGTGTAGTTTGCAAATAGATTGGCTATTTAACCGAGCTCATAAATTTGTTTGGGCACATTCGACCATGTTTGCAGGTTGATTGACCTCGAGGTCGAACTTTTTAAGTGACTAATCCAGTAGAACTTTTAAATAATCTTGCCATTCAACCAAGCTCCTTTAGTGGCTAATCAGCCTAGCTTTCTAAATAATTTGGCCTTGAGGTTAAGCTTTTTTAGTGGCTAGTCTAGTTGAGCTTTTTAAATAATATAACCTCGAGGTCGAGCTCTTTCAGTGGCTAATCCAGTCAACCTTTTTAAATAATCTGACCTTAGGGTCGACCTCTTTAAGTGGCTAATCTAGCCATTAGACCAAGCTCCTTTAGTTGCTAATACAATCGAGCTCTTTAAGCAGCTCATCTAGCCAAGCTTTTAAATAATTTGGCCTCGAGGCCGAGCTCTTTTAGTGGATAATCTAGTTGAGCTTTTCTAAATAATCTGACCTTGGGGCCAAGTTCTTTCAATGTCTAATCTAGTCGAGCTTTTAAATACGTTGGTCATTCGAGCGAGCTCCATGCGTGTCTAATCCACTTGAGCTCTTAAATAGGTTGGTCATTCGACCGAGCTCCTTGAGTGGCTAATCTAGTCAAGCTCTTAAATAGGTTGGTCATTTAGTCGAGCTTCTTGAGATACTGAACCAATCAAGCTTTTAAATATGTTAGTCATTTGATCGAGCTGCTTGAGTGGCTAATCCATTCGAGCTCTTAAATGTTGAGACAAGATTGCCTAGAAAGACTAGATCGTCTAACATCTCTGGTTTTGAAGTTTAACAAATAACATTAAACTGAATATCATCTTAGGAAGAAGTGCGTCTAAAAGAAAATAAACATAAACACAACCTGAGAAAACATAGAAACATCCCTGAGAAATCACAAGAGAAAGTGTCTGAACATTAGGCAACAAACAATATCTTGGAACCATTAACAACGTCTATCAAATAGAATAATTCAGATGACTGTTAGACTAAGAGATAGAAATCAAAATAATTAGGCTCAAATCATCTAGAAACATCTAGAAAAAACTTTAAAAGCCTAAGAAGACTTAAGCACAAAGATATCTAAGCAGTTATATTGAAAATTATTATCACAAGAGCTAGCAAACAACATTTTCCTAGACTATAAGGATTAACAAGTGAATACGTCTGATTAATAAGAAAAGTTCACAAGAATACCTTGTAAAACAATAAGCTTAAAAGAAGAAAAGAGTTTTACAAAGACATCGATTTAGAAAAAGAAATGAGCTTAAATGATATGACACATTCTTAAGAAGCGTCTGATCAGTAGGAAAAGCCTATACAAATTTAGTAAGACACCATGCTTAAGGTACTTAGACACAAAGTGTCTGAATTACTCTCGTAGAACATTGGGTGTGAAAATCCTCTCTAAGGTATAAATATATTTTACATGGATGATTCATGATAAGCATCGTCTGAACAGGTGAAAAACTTAAGGACAAGTTCTC